AAGAAACGGACCTAAGCTGATCTGCGAGGGAAGCGCAGCAAATCTCCGGAGCACCGCGCTATCAACACTATACATAATCGTCTTTCCTTATCGAAAACAAAAAGAAGCAGAATATCGCATTCAAGATACAACTTTATTAGACGGCTTCGCATTCCTCCATCTCGCTGTCCCCGTCGGTGATTTCGCCCTCCTCGGGCTATTCGGCTTTTTCGATACGAATTTCGAGGGCGTCATCACTATCGTCCGAGTCCGGATCGCAAATTCGGATTCCAGCGAGATGTTGCGGTACGGGCAGGGCGCGAGCGGCACGGGGGCCCGATGGACCGGGAAGCTCTGTCGATACTCTGAGCTGTGTCGCGGGAGACGGAGCCAAGTTCGCGGAGCTCGGGCTAAGCTTTCGGGATTACGTCGGTTTTCTCACGGCTCCAGTCGAGTCCTCGGGCGAGTCGGTTGCTTAGTCTGGACTCTGGGCGGCTCCGGAACTCGGACTCTCGGCCATAATGTTCGCGACGTGTTCGATGGCGCGATCGACCTGCACGACGGCAGTGGTAGGAGCAGCGAACGGGCCGGCAGAGGTTGGTCGGACGGCTCGGCGGGAGAAGGGACCACTGATGCATTGCGGAGCACCTTCGGGGTGAGTGCCTAGCGTTCAAAGCTCTCGGAATCGTTAGAGGTACTCGCCACGCTGCTCATACGACATCGCGGCCCAGGAACGCGTCCGACACCATCTTGTTTGTCCATCTTGTTTGTACGGTCCAAGCGGCATTCCATTACACTTCCTCTGAACATTCGTCCCCGTGCGCAACGGTTGTGCGGAATCGATCTCACGCACGACTCAGTAATAGATTAACATCGCACCTAGCTCCAGACGTCGGTGCAATATCTCCTCTGAGACTCCATTTTCTTCAAGTACTTCTCCGCGTCCGTCGCGGTCATGTTGCCCTTCTCCTGCAACGTGCTCATCACGATGCTGTGGACGTCTCGAGCCATCGTTCTGGCGTCTCCGCACACGTAGAAATGGCCGTACTGCTCGCCAATGATGCTCCAGACCAGATCCATCCGTTCCTTGAGGAGGTGAGTGACGTAGACCTTTTCGGCCTGCTCTCGACTGAACGCAGTGTAAAGTTTACACGTGCCCTCAGCCACGTAGCCCTCGAGCTCCTCTCGGTAGAGGAAGTCTTCGGAGCTCTTCCGGCATCCGTAGAAAAGATGACTCTCCCCGACGGCTTTATTCTCCACTAAGCGTTGGTGGTGGCGTTCTTGAAGGAATCCGCGGAATGGCGCTAGGCCGGTGCCTGGGCCCACCATGATGATTGGAACCGTGGGTCGAGTGGGTAGTTTGAATTGGGACCTTCGCACAAAAACGGGTAGACAGGTCCCGATCGGTACTCTGGTTAACTGTCCCGTGGCGACACCTCTTATGTGGCGACCCGTCGGGGTATCGTAGTCAACCGTGACAGCGGTGACATGCACTCGGTCTGAGTCCACTTTGGAGGAGGACGCAATGGAATAGTAGCGAGGTTGGAGTCTGGGCATGAACTCCAGCATGAGGTCGAGTGGTGGTTTGCAAGATGGGAGATCCTCTAAAATGTGGACAATCGAGCGGCAGTCGTCCTGGACCCATTTTTTGTATTCAGCCTTGCCCTCGGGACTTGTGGAGGACAACAGCTTAAGCTTAGCTTTGTCAGCATCGTCGCTACAAGATTCAGAGAGCTCCTTGAGGATGTGGGTTCTGGGCGGCGTGCAGACGTCGACATAGCTCGTCAACGCTGTTCTGTAAGAAGTCGGGCACGGGAAAGGATTTCTCTTTGAGCTGTCTTCGTCGGTGTTCTTCAGCGTGATGACCTGATCGAGATCCGCACCGAGCAGGCTGCCGAGTTTCTCGACGATCTCCGACTCGTTCGATGGATACAGAGCCATGTGATCTCCGGTTTCGTAACGCATCTTCGAGTCTTTGATATTGAACTCGAGGTGAAGGCAGGACCTCTCTCCCTTGTAGAGTTCGCGCTTCTCCACCATTTCGGCGAGGTATGGATTCTTCACATCGAACGGTGGTCTCTGCTTGGTGAATTGAGTGAGGCGCGCGATTTCGCCTTTGAAGATCTTCTCCTCGGGGAGTGAATCTTTCTCGTGGACGGTGAGTTGATACTGGCGCATGTTCCAGTCCGTAGCGGAAACTTCCAAACTGAATGTCTCGCAGACGGAAGCCCAGAAACTGTCTTTCCACGTGATGAAGTCTTCTTCAATGTTCGCATTGTCATCGCCTTCTCCGAGTGGGAAAACTTGTCTCGCTCCGAGATCCTTGAGACGTGAGTCAACGTATCTTCCCATCGCGTTGTAGTGCTCGTATGTTTTATTGCCCAAGGCGAATACAGCATAGTTGAGTCCCGGCAGATTTACCGAACCATCTTGGAGCCACTGATAGAACTCTTGACAGTTGTCGGTGGGATCGCCTTCACCGTATGTGGCCATGCAGAAAACAGCGAGATGGTTTTCGATCGAGGAAAGCTCCGTCAGTTCTTCCATTTCGCATTCTTCGGGATCGGCTACCATGGCTTTGAGACCGTAGCGCGCGGCCTCTTTGGCCAGACGGGCCGCGAATTCCTCGGCAGTCCCTGTCTGCGAGCCGTGGAAGACTACGACATTTCGTCCCTGGCTCTTCATCTTCGCGATGAAACCTCCGGAGCTCCGCTCGCGATTCATTGAGCCCTCAATTGAGAAGCTCTTGATCGCTGTAGCGTCGAAGTCCGAATCATCTTTTCTGCGCAAGAAAAACCACCAGTAGGCTCCGACCGCGAGTACAACTATTATCACGGTGTCGATCCATCCTAAGGACAGCAAATCAGCCGATTCCGGTGCGTCGTCCATACTTTCACGATGCGAAAGTAGATCTTGATTTTCACAATTTCTTGACCACATATCACTTTGCTCTCGGAATTCGTCTACCGCTCACTGCCAATTACGAAACACCAGCTGAGAACTAGGGAGAACGAGAAGTAGGGAACACACACACAGGGATTTCAGGCAGAACAACGGATAGTGGACAGAAATTTATTCTGAGATTGAAGGTCCTTATGTACCTACCTATTGGTTGAGTGAGGGATCTGAGAGAGTATCTACCAAATAAGGGCAGATTCCTGTCTATCTAATTGATCCTATCTAGGGGTTCCAATGATTCTAGAGCATAAGGGTTGGAGCGTGTGAGAGAGGGGTGATTTGAAGCTGGCGTTCTGATTCGGCGAGGGTTGGTGGTTCTCTAATTGGTGCGAGTGAAGCATCGATTGATGCGGGCTGGAGATGAGATGGGGACTGACTGAGCTAAACCATCTCCACTGTCGTTCACTCCAACAGCCGTTCTGATGGTGAAATCGAGAACTAATGAATTTCGCCTAGAGCTCAGTAAACCATGATGATATATACATATATCGTTAGACATAATAGAATAAATCGTTTCAAAGGCTAATTTCCCTGTTGCTCCGCAGATATTCGTTATATTCAAGAGATATACGGCACATCAGAACGCTCCGGCCCTAAGAGTATGGTTCGATTGAGCTGCTCTCAACATTTTCCTCGCGAGTTTCGTTTTTGTTCGATCATTTCTCTCGGCTATTCCATTCTGTTGGCTTGTTCTCGGGCTACTCACGAGTTCGGCACCTATTCTGTTGAGCTCTCTACATCTTGGAGTTGGCGAATTCTCGTCCCCCATCGCATATTAGCGCTTTGATTCTTCTGCCCGTTTGATTCTCGATGAAGTGAATGTATTCAATCATATACTGAGTTGCTCCGTCTTTCGATTTGAGGTGCCATGGCTCATTGAAGTGGGAATATAGATCGTAGATATTCATGAAATACATATCTCGATCCTCCGAGGGATGGCTTCATTGGGCCACACGGATCTGCGTGGATGATTTGCCCTGGCATCTTTTGCCTTACCTTTAGTGGTTTCAGGTGATATAAAGCTCTATTATTTCCATGAATATGTACATGATCCGCATGAGGTATTATCATTCTGGAAATTCGGTCCCTGTATTATCAGTGTCTTTCTGACTCTTTGCTTGTTGATGTGTCCGAGCATTCCATGTGCTTGTTGATGAGTTTTTCGCGAGAATGGACGTTTTCGCCCCCGGAGTATTCCGGAGAGTCACAGGGGTGCCTCTGATTATATCACAGGACTATTATCGATGAATGCGGAGGAGGCGCGAGCGATATTATTGGATTGCAATAATCAGATTGTCGGGCAAGATTGACTTATTCACCACTTCCCAGCAGTCTTTTCCACCAGAAAGTAAGTCACTGATCACTGTTTTCCAATCAGGGTCGTTGCTACCAGACATATGAAGGCGGAAAGCAGCATAATTGGGCAATGGCAAATACGTAGCCGAAGGATGGGGAGCATTCTCATCGGTGTTAGCCATGACTCGCTTTGTTGCGGGATAGCTTGTTCCGAGTCAGTCTGAGGTGCTCAAGAATGCGAAACTGCTGTTTGCAGATTGTGGCATTGATTCGCGGAAAATACGGTGGAAATGTTGTGTGTATTGTACTCTAGTCCACAGCTGGCACCGATCACGGCAAAGATTCAGACTCCGAGCCGCACTAGATGAAGGGAATACACACACAGGGATTTCGGGTAAAACAATGGTTTGTGGGCAGTAGTTTATATTGAGATTGGAGGTCCTCATATAATTATTGGTTGAGGAATGGACCTAAGAGAGTATCTTCATGCAAGCAGACCCCTGTTTATCTGATGGATCCTATCCATAAGGGTTCCAAGGATTCTAGAGTATAGGAGTAGGAGCGTGTTAACGGGACGGAAGGAGTGGACGAGGTGGTTGGAGGCTGGGGTTCTGATGTTGTATGGATTCGGAGTTTCTTTATCTGATGAGGATGGAGCATCGATCGATGCGGGAAGGGGATGAGATGGGACACGTATGGGGGACAACGGGCTACTTCCGAAGAATTCAGGGAGATAACATAGCATAGGATGAGGTTTAATTTATTTTGGCGACAATTCCGTAGCCAGTTCAACATGGCTGAAGTGGTGTTCAGTACTGCCTTTCGACCACCACCCTAGTAACTAATCTCGATACTTGTCATGCTCCTTGTCTACAGGCATTATGGTCGTATTCCATGTATTATACTTGTGAGTGTTCGCTTGCCCGCCCATTTGTCCTCGTTTGTAAATTGTGTAAGGTCAGACGCGAACCTTCCATATCATCAACCTTACCGGTGAAATCTTGCCGGAGACAGAGATTCGCCATTCTGAGGGAGAGGTCTACCAATTACCATTGTGATGTTCTCGCGAGTACGGGGTGTTCCGTCTCAGCAGTGAACGGTATGCGCTGGTCCAACATCGTAGCTAGTGTCCATTTTCCCCCACCCGCTCCGAGGGAACCAGAAAACCGTCTTGTCATTCGCCCGTTCCGAAGGAGCCCGAGAACAGTCTTTCACCCGCAGGAGGTACTCAAGGGTACTTGTGATGTCTCGGTAGAGCAGCATCGAGCAGTCTCATCCATCATATACAGCAACGGAGTGTGAGGAAAACACGTAAAATCGTTAAATGTGTGAAATCCAGAAGCGATATCCTCGATTGAGTGTGCCGCGTAGGTACCGGAGAGTGTTTTGAGGGTCTTCCCAAAATATCTAGACTATGTGCTCGATGTTAGAAGAGTCCATGCGACACAAGGGGGTGTATGCACGAAATCCCATTTTTATGCATGTAGATAGAAGATAGATGTTTATAAAAGGAGAAAACAGACAGAAGAAGATATAGATTGCGTGTGCCCAAACTGATGAACCTGCAAGGCACCACCATAGGTTTTGCTGCGAAACACTGGCTTGCTTTGAGGCTCCGATCATGGGTAGCCGCTGGGAGTTTCAATTATGACAGAGTTCGTCGTTCATTCATATATCGGCGTCGCTTAAATTCTGATCTGCAGTGGGGATAGAGAGCTATCATCCGAGAGCTCGCTTCTTCACCAACGTGACCTGAACCCCGCTCTGTTACAAGTGTGTACCTAATCGATCTCCGACTTCACTGAGTCGAATAATTGGTGGATGAGCTCTGGAGTATAAAGATTCGGCCGAGGAATATGAACGCCGGAGAGGAGTTGGGAGAGGGCTTGGTAGATTTTCCTGGTGGAAATACTGACGAGCGGGTCAGTCTTCGATACCATCCATCGATTCCTCTCTCCCTTTCCTCAGCCATGTTTGAGTTTCAGTTTTGGTACAGCGGGAACCACAAATATCGTGAGATTCGCGTCCGGGAATTTCTCTCTATCGCTGCATGTTTGACTCGCTACACAGAACTGACGATTTCTGGCCGCTCATTTCAAGCTTCGCCTTCCATTCCGAGTAAATCTGAGCGACTCGCACTTTCAGCTGATTACCAGTTACCAGTCCACGCGTATGTGTGTATGCCGTCGGAGGAGGTGAATACATTGAGGACTTGCAACGGTTACGATGTCACAGACATGATGTCTTTATCCCAGTCGGGGTGTGACCTCCGACCTCCGTGACGTGCGCTACGCCGGTATACCGAAAATTTTGCGCGGACTGTATATCGCGAACATTTTGGCAGCGGTTCGATTCACTATTTTCTCGATGAGATGGGGGAAGTATAGATGACCCGCAGAGACCAATGAATTGACGATGCCCATCGTAGCCCATTCAATCGTTTTGGGCACTCCTTCGAGGTGAGTGATCCTCAAGTTATCGATGTTGAGCACTCTGAAACTCGTCAGCCGTATCGTGGTGAAGTTCGCCTGAAATGAATCTAGGCCTCATGGATCACTAAATAATCTTCGTCCTCTCATCTCTTACTAGATCTAGGCGGAGCCGATCCCTGCTGATTGAGGGTTCGCTCGAGAGGGACCTCACTGCTCACCTCGATCCGAGATATCGCGCTGATGCTGTCCATGGCAGCCGCGTAAGTCCCATAGATGGTGAAGAGGCCAGTCGGCGTGATGACGAAATTCCCCTTGCAGGTAGTATGGCCGAGGCTCAGGGTCATATCAAGAGTCGCTGTGTTCTGCTCCAAAAAGAACGACAGCGAACCGTTCCTTTTCGCAGTCGGGAGACCGTATAGTTTAAGCTACAAAGACGTGAATACCTCTCAATCGGCGACGTAATGCATTTGAAACGGGATTGGCATCGTCAAAGTCATGGTTATGAATATGATGATAAGGATCACGAATTACGACTCGAGAAGCCTGTGACTATGACTGCGACTATAATCATACGCCGCGCGACGGAGCGGAAGAATGGTATCTGGGGGCTGCTGGGGTTTGATCGGAGAGTTTCGAGGTCCGTGACGCTGACCGTCCGAAGCAGTTCAGCCGAGTTTCGGATCGGAGCGAGGTATCCACGCACACGGCTTAGGCCGAGAGGTTTAGGAAAGGACGGATGAATGCTCACATCGTAGATTTTTCCGTCCGGTATATCGAATCCCTCCAAATTAACCGATTCGAACCCTTCCTGAGAGTCCAAGTTCTGCACCGAGTCCGCGACCAAACTGTCAAAATACTCGTCCGAAACTGGGATTTTCGCTGGAATTCGAAAGGACGGCCTCGGAGACGCTCCATAAGGAGGCTAGAGATGAATGCGATCATGGATATTCTTCGTCGTCCGCTCACTCACTGTACTTCACGACAGGGGACTCCACATGCTCCTCCAGAGGCTCCAGAGGCTTTGTTACGAGTATATACGAGATGTAAGAGGTGCTCATAATCGCTGCGATCATCATCCACAGAAACGCGAAACACTCGAACTAGAAGGAAAGGGCCTCGCATGACGGAGCTCGAAGTTCGAGAATGTCCGAATGTCGGAATTATACCCCATCGAGCGGAACTTAAGAAGGACCTCGCCCATCGCGGCCTCTGCGGTCTCTGAGCATGGTGGTACTGTTGTTGTCCTGATATCACCTACCAGCACCCTAAAAATGGTAACCCCGACGTTCACAGTGCCAGAAATACGACGAAGCGATTTTCGCAGAGCCGTCTATCGGGGAGGGTTTTGGAATCGATCATCTGTGATGGACGAGGTCTAACTGCTTTTCAAGAATCACGATCTGAGGCTATGCATTCAATTGCAGCTCCCAACCCAACTATCGACTCCAGCTATCGATGGAGAGGTCGCACAGATTGACTGAATTGCTCACTAAGCAAGCGCCTCTGCGTTCGGTTCGTTTCTCGCGTCTAGCTGCGAATGAGTTGGACGTCATCCTGAAGACTTCAACAATGTGAAGATTCACTCTACGCTGAACCACTTAGCTCTCGGATTGAGAGAGAATGGGGATGAATCGACATCGTTTTCCTGCATGCTTTCTGCTCGAATAATCACAATCACTAATGAAGCCGCAGAATGTGTATCCTGCTCAAGACAATAAATGAAAAATTTCTAGAGAGCGGCACCGTCGCGTCGTGGCTTTAGGTTGCAGGAGGGAAGCAGCCCACGGACTCTATTCTGTTGACGTTGAACTACGCTTCAACCTCGCCCAGTAGATAAGGGATGTTGGCGAATCGCGGGAAACTGGTGACGAACTTATCCGTGGGAACCCTCAGGGAAATCTAAAAGCGTGGACCGGGTACGGGAATAAGAGTCGATTCCCGGCCCGAAAAAATGTGACCCGGCCAATCGATTTGTAAGAAGGCTCCAAGACAAACAAGAACAGAGTTCGGGGAACTCCATATTTCGGCAGCTCCCATTGCTGGTCCCGCGGCTCGCGGCCATCCGTCATTCCCCATTCATGTCAGCTAGATGCACAAGTTAAACGAACGCGCATCGAGATAAAGAATGTTCTCCTAGAATTGCGGGTTCGATCGTCTTCGGCGCAGTCCTCCCTAAGGAGTAAATCAGAGCGAATCAGGAACAATCGAAGGACGGTAGTGGCGACTCACCATGGAGAGTCAGTCATGCAAGAGAGTATCGAAATGAAGCGCTCTTAAAGCAAAACCCGGGAGCTGGGAGAATGGTCATGTGCACATTCTCCAAGAAGTTCTATGAGCCTCAATTCGGTGGTATTCATGGGGAAGGAGCGCGCAGTCTTCAGTCGGCAAGAGGAAGGGAGGAATTCCCATTCCCAGTCCTACTAAGGAAAACACATGGTTCTACGACTGAGTTGCAGACTCGATAGAGTGGCCCGTTCATTTCGAGTGCTTTATCAGGGGAGGAAATTGCGGATGTCAACTTTTTCGAAAGCGCTCTCAATCGCAGCCCGTGACTCGTCCTCGATGGTGTTACTGATCATCGAACTCTTCTTGTCCAATACGAGGTTGACGATCCATTTCGCCAGCCAGTTGAAGATCACCGAGGCACCGCTGAACTTCGTGATCTTGAGACCTGTGAGATCGGTCACGTGGAATTCCTCGAGATGAGCTCGCGTGCCCCGAATCTGATGTATCAATAGAATCATTAGAGGAATACAATCACGGGTTCCCGTATTGATCAGATCTTCACAGGGCCCGGCTCACATGGGGATTCGCCGGACGAACGACATGCCCCCTCAAGAGACTTCCGCCCTCACCGTGAGCTTGATGGAACAGCTGAGTTTGTCAACCTGAGCCCCGATATCGCCACTGAATTTGATCAATCTGCTGAACCGATATCTGTAGCGACCGATGCCCGCCACTTTCCCCAAGCCGACGGTAGCTTCGATGACTAGATGACTACCTTGGAACCCGAGCGAAGCGGGTCCACTCCGCTCTAAGCTTGTGAGGCCATATATATGGAGCTGGAACAATTGAGTCAGTCTCAATCACATTGTATCTATCATATGCCCAAACCGGGGTCCTTGTTCAATTTGTTTATTCTGAAAACTATGTACTCACACCGGTAGCTTCCCCTCCTTCGAATGAGATATCGTCCAATACCAGAGGATCTATCAGGGCAAGAATCTTCGGCTCATTCTTAGCGTTCTCCAGCACCTTGTCCAAGTATTCATTTGCGTTGCCGGCGTATTCTAGAGGGGAAGTTGAGTGTGATAACCGAGCCCGTATTCCCTACCTAGTCAACTTTTTCGGCCTGAACCACACAGCCAAGGTTCAACGTCTCGGGTACTGTTATTCACATTGCTTCCGAAGACGGATCCATAGAGCAAATGTACCCAGTGTTACCGCCCGCCTCCGATTCAGATGGAAAACAACCTATACTTATGTTTCACTGGATGTGGACGAAGTGGTAATTTTCTTCGAGTAATTCGGAGCTTGGCAGAGACGACCGTGAATCGTCTCTGAAGCTATCACTGACTCACTAAACTCTGAGTGGATGCGCGGTTGGAGACAACCGCGTAACAGCCCTCCTTTCCCGTGACCCCTCTCCCTCTCGGACCTCGGAGATCTTACACTTCGCGGTAGATAGAGTATTATACATACATACTAAATAGGTCTCTCCGCGCGTGAATATGTAGATAGCTAAGCTTCACCGACCCGGTTCATGACACTCCCCGCCGAATTGGCCGTGAACCAATTC